TATTCCTAACCAGGCAGGAGAAAACTCCATGGGGAAACATCACTGCCTCTCACTTTCCAGTCACCTTCCATCCAACCTTCTCTAAACCTACCAGTGGCAGCACTCTGCTTTCCACCCCATCATGTCAGCTTGAAACTGCAGCTTACCAACTCAACGGTTTTCCTTCATTGACGCATGCCTGCATGCAATGAGTGTCTGCTGAGTGCCCACCACTCTCCAGGCCCAGGGCACACAACAGTGAGTAAGCACACATGGCTCCTGACCACAGGGAGCTCACAGCCTACCAGAGGAGACAGGTGTTCAATAAGAATTACACAGTGAACAACTTAATCTAGTTGTGATCAATTGCTATCATAGAAAAATACAGGAGGCGGTAAGAGCATATAAAGGACATTTAACATAACAGGAGTGGGGAGGGTAGCCAGGGAAAGCTTCATGGCGAAAGGAGGAAAGACACCCAACCATGGAGAGCTTTATACCTGACTGACCCTTTACTAGGTTCAGTCACAGCTTCTCTCGTACCCCTCCCTTTTTATCCCATCCTCAGTTCTCTTCCACCAAGGCAAAAGTTCCTGCTGCCAGGTTAATACGTCTAATACCTTGCTAACAACATCAAGCAGCTGCCCACTGCTTCTGGAACCAAGCCTGGTTGATCCTCAGTGCAGCACTGACGGCCCTGCCACAACCTGGTTCCACCAAACGCACGGACCCTATCCCCCAGTATGCGCCTCCTCTGCCCTGCAGCTTGGACCCACCATTCTGGGAATACTCCACTCTAGAGTCTCGGCACAATGTGCTCTACTGAATCAACAGTGCTGAGTGAAACTGGCCACATTCTTGGGTCTCTGGTTTTCCTCCACTTAAATTCAAGGAAACTGCCAAAGCCCTGACATTATGGCCACTTCTCACATACTATCACTAGCAGAGAATAAGTTCCATATTGACCATTAAGTGGCAGGAGCTAAAAAAACTGGGTGAGTGATGGCCCCTGAGTAGACAGGCCCCGTAAAGAATCACATTATAGGGCGCCTGGGTGGCTCAGTTGGTTAAGCGACTGCCTTCGGCTCAGGTCATGATCCTGGAGTCCCAGGATCGAGTCCCGCATCGGGCTCCCTGCTCAGCAGGGAGTCTGCTTCTCCCTCTGACCCTCCTCCCTCTCATGCTCTCTGTCTCTCATTCTCTCTCTCTCAAATAAATAAATAAAATCTTTAAAAAAAAAAAAAAAGAATCACATTATAAAATTTCCGTGAAGTGCCAAAGGACCACATGAAACTCTCCTTCATTGCTTCACTTATTGCCACAAGGAGCTCAGAGTATGCAAAAGCAATGGAATAATTTCTCTTCCGTTTTTGACTTCCCATAATACTCATTATCAGCATCACATATTTTATCCCCCAATAGAATTAAGGGATACTCTCTTTCATAGACATAAAACATTTCTGGAAAAGTTTAAGCCACTGAATATGTGTAAAGTATGAAAAATTTGTGCTCATTAAAGATTTCTGGCCACTTTGTCAATTTAAGAACATAAAAATGTGCTTTACTTAAAAGTATCACTTACGTAAGTAATAATTATAAATCTCTACTGAGTTTGCTTTGAAATGTTCTCAATTTTAGTTCAAATGGCTTTATAAGACTGACTTTCAATGAATCTGCATCAATTAGTTTTTGAAGCTACTAGAAAGAGAGGAGGAGGGAGAAAGAGAAAGAGGGAGAGAAAGGAGATTTGAGCATATAGACGAAACTATTAACATAAAAGCAAAACAAAGAAAAACCATCTTCGTTGGCTCAGTGTACTTCCCTGTGTTAAGTAGATACAAAAGGTACTCATTTTCATAGGAGGAGTGGGAAAATTAGTGTCATTCAATACAGTGTTGCTGTGTAGAGCTCCATCTGATCAGTGTCATTTTCAAAACTATCCTAATTAGTCATTTCTGCCCTCATACTTCATTTTTACTGTCTTAAAACAGACAGTTTGTCCAGATTAAGACAATGTTCCTTACCTTTTTACATGGGACATTTATTTCCCAATTTAATGAGACCATTTCCAAACAAATATTATATTCATTCATATATAGAGAAAAGAATGGAACCATATTGGAAGGAAAATATGCTTAGCAGAATTCCAGCCTATGCTCTTAGGCAAAAGTGTATTCTTTCTTTTTTTTTAATCTTTCTTTCTCTTTCCTTCTTTCTCCATACCCAGCATGGAGCCCATGTGGGGCTTGCACTCACGACCCTGAGATCAAGAGCTGAGCTGAGACCAAGAGCCAGATGCTTAACTGACTGAGCCACCCAGGTACCTCACCTAGGCAAAAGTGTGTTCTTAACATCAAGATCATATTAGCAGTTTTAACTTTTAGTTTTATCTTTATTTATTATAAACTAGTGGTTTGCAGCAACATGAATTAAAAAACATTTTCCATCTTGATAAAGTCTTTCACTTTACTTTCTTCCATATTTTAAAAGACAAATTCAGAGTATGCATCAACTGGGAGGAGTGTGCAGCAAAAAGCAAAATTCAGATGCCAATTTCACTGACCAGAGTACCTCTAAGACTCATATGGAGCTATCAACTCCTGTTCTTGAGGAGGTTCTATAGTGCATTAAGGTTAGATACTGCTCCCAAAAGAGATGCCTTTTTTCCAGTTAACTCTCAGACCATTTCCCCACCCTAACATTTCACTAGAGATTCAGCACCACAACTGCATTCCTCTCTCTACTTGCATTTCAGGAAGACAGTAGTCACAAGGTGAACCCATTTCACATCTCATACTTGTTTGAGCTCACCCGTAGACCTTGTAGAGGATATCTCATTTCGTGGTAAGACTTTGAAAACAATGTTGTGTATGCTTGAAGTCTCCTCAGGAAGGCAACACTTACTCATCAATCTCAAAGTAAAGTCAGCATGAATAAGGCCCTCAAACAAATGAGACACTAATTTCTTCCATCTCCTGAAAGAGGAAGCTTGTCCCAAAGGAAAAAACAGTTCACTGAAGCCTTGATATTGAAAAAAGTTTACTGCACTATTTCTCATATATGCACTGATCAGATACTGTCAAGAGTTTAATACTAAAACATTTCTTTTACAAAATTTTTAGAAATTATTTGAATGAGTAAATTCTAATTTTAAACATTTAAATCATGATTTTTTAAAAATGTTAATGTCGGGCACCTGGGTGGCTCAGTTGGTTAAGCGACTGCCTTCGGCTCAGGTCATGATCCTGGAGTCCTGGGATCGAGTCCCGCATCGGGCTCCCTGCTCAGCGGGGGGTCTGCTTCTCCCTCTGACCCTCTTCCCTCTCGTGCTGTCTCTCATTCTCTCTCTCTCAAATAAATAAATAAAATCTTTAAAAAAAAAAAAAAACGTTAATGTCAAAATTTTCCAGGGGAAAAAAAAAACTTTTTTATTTTTCTGGCTCATCCTATCTCTACTCTCCCTAACTTCACAACTGCGGGGGGGGTGGGAGTAGGATGAAGTGGCAAGTCAGTCACAAGGGATAACCCCACACCTTACATATCTCCGGAGTAACCAGTCCAATATACACTTGTACAATATTGTGAAAGTGAGCAAAATAAATATGACAGGGCAGGCAACAAAGGGAGTAGTCATTCATTTATCCAACAAATCTTTATCCTGTGCCTATTTCAGCCCAAGCACTATGCCAGGCATTAGAGATATAAGAGTTAGCAAGATGGACACAGTCCTGGCTCTCAGATAAAACTGAATCAAAAGGAGGAAACAGACATTAAACAATTGTGATAAGTTCTGTAACTGAGAAGTGCAAGAGCTATAAAATATGAAGGGAGACTTACCTTAGTCTGGGAGTAAGGAGGTCAAGGAAGGCTTCCTAGGGGACATTTAGGCTGAAATTTCAAAGAAGGCTAGGGGAAGAGCATTCTGGGCATGTGCAAAGTCCCTGGGGTGGGAATGAGCATTATGGCTGGAGTGTAATGGGAGTAGGGGATGCTAAGACAGGAAGAGGATGAGGTGCACAGCCATCAGATCTTGCAAGGCTCTCTAAGCAGTGATAAGGACTTTTTACTTTATTCCAATGAAATCAAAAGTTTTAAAAGGTATTAAGCAGGGGAATTATCTGATCAGATTTAAATTTCTAAACATCATTCTAACTAGGAGAAAGCACAGTGCAGCTCCTAAGCCAGAACCCCCCAGCTCCCAGCCTTAGTTCTCTCTACCTTTCTGGTCATACCATGTACCCTTCTGGATCCTCCACAACATTTCATTTCTGTGTCACTTTTTGGAGCACCTGCTTATATACCACCTGATCACATACTAACCATTTCCTATTTCACATCCTCTAATTTTAACTCTCCACTCTACTCTCTCTATTCTCATGTTTTAATATCCTTTTGTATATCTTCATGGTCCTAGGCATATAACAGGTATTCAATGAATACTTCCTAAGTAGATTTAAGGTTTGACTGGCAAGGGTCTTCTAAACTGTGGAACAGAGAATTGCCAAGACTCCCTCCTGGTTTCTGTTTCCTTTGCACACATGTAAAAGTCTTTTGGGCACAGCAACGTTACATCAAGCCTGTATTTTTGAAGTGACCAGTGATGGCCCACTACAAAAATGGTGCTTCTCAGAGGACCAGCTGTTGAGGCTACCATCATATTTGTCAAAGAAACAAGATCAGTTATGGTCACTTCCCATCAACCACCTCCAACTATCTTTCTCCACCCTTACCTAACCCATGGCCTATGCATCATACATATAAACTATCCCAGAAGACTCAACTGTGAAGTTCATATAGCTTCCAAATACTTTGAGGTTGCAGGGCACACCTATTGGTCTATTTATCTCCTGAGTTCGGAATCAAATCCAAATTACTCTCTACCCAAAGACCTTCATTTAGAATACTGCTGCAGTCAGAATGATGCCCTAAACTTTAGGGAAAGAGACAAAGTAGCAAAGAAAAAAGAGAAAAAGGACAAGAGAAAGCCTACTCCAAGTTTCACTAGTTTACCAAGTTCATACCTTTGCAGCCAGGCGACACTCCATCACCCTGATGTTGAAATGAGAAGTTGCTGCCTTATTCATTTCCACACAACTGTTGGCAATCACAAATACCGCTCCACTTGGGAGTTTCACATCAGTTGCCCTCAGAGGACTAAATTCTATCAACTTGGCCTATTGGAAGAAAAATGACAGGTGAGATATAATGTATTAGAACTCAGAAAATGTTTAATCATTTACCTTAGCAAAAATTCTTCATAAAAATGTATTCATTCAATTCAAATATTATTTATTGACTTCCAGGCACTGTACTAGGTACTGGAGATACAACAGTGAACAAGACAGACACTGTCCCTGCCCTCATAGAGCTTACTATCTAGCAGGAAAGACAATCAAGTGGACAGATACATTTCTAGGTTGTGTTACAACAGTAGCAAAGCACAGGGTGCTTTATAGGCACATAGTTGAAGCACCTGATCACCTAAGTGTAGGCTCCTTTGAGAAAAGGGAAATCTACACTGAGTCTTAAAGGATGAGCAAGAGTAGGGCAGACAGAGGATTTCTTGACCCAAATAGGATATCAAAAAGAGGGAAGAGCATACGCAAGTTCAGAGGCAAAAAAAAAAAAAAACATGAGGTGTTAATAAAGCTTTGGGTATTGAAATTTGCCTGGAGCTCAGAGTTTGAGGGTTGAGGGTTGGTGAGAAGGTAGAATGCAGAGGTAAAGCAGGAGCCAGATCATGAAGTGCTTTGTAAGCTCAAAGAATGTGGACTTTGTTCAGACCCTATTGCTAACTTACATTAACATCGGCACTCTTGCCACCATGTCTGCTTGTCAGGTCTCATCCAAAACACCCAGATTATTTTCTTAACATTAAAACACATTTCCTCATGGTTCATGTCTTTGGCTTAGAGGAATCAACAATAAATATTCTTAATAAGAAGAAATCCAGATATTCTTAGAAAATAGCCAAGCTTGTAGGAATATGATGAAAAACCAAGAAAAGATTTTAAAGAAATGTCCACTTCTATTTTGGAAATGGGTAGTTTATGGGCAACAACCAAAACCTCTACTCTGCCTAAGGGAGTTGATAGCCAAGGGGAAGTGGTATCCAGCTAAAGAATTTATCCCTGGCTTACTGTCAACATTCTTTTCCCACCCCTGAAGCCCCAAAAATGTTGACAGAGAAAAATGATACCAAAAAGTAAATTATAAAAAGAGGGGTTGTGAATATATGTGGTAAGAGAAGTTAACATTTGGGTTTAAAACCAACAAGAGATTATGAAAATGCCATGAGATGAAGTGATTTGGGACAAGAGCAGGAAAGGTGGTCCCAATACTAGGGAGTTGAGAAATCTCATCTTAACAATGGAGAGAAATAGAAAGGGGAAAAGACTAGGCACAAGAGAAAAACAGATCTGAGGTATGATTCTGGGAGCCTAAGGAAGAGGTGATCAACATGAAACAGAAGAGGTGAACTGGTAGCAGCCTTGAACTACAAAGCAGATGATAAATACCATTTATAATAGAACCTAAGAAAATTCACTGCCCAGAACCTCTCCATATGAACTTTCCCTAGTTGATATTTCCAAATAGCTCAATGTCACATACAGTTCCTTCTTCTGCAAGAAATGATATGGACTGGTCCATCCCTCCTCCTTCAGTGCCAATATAACGCTCACTCTTGGCACAGATTTCCGCAAGTTCCACCTGAAAAAGTAAAAATTGATTTGCACTGTGAGTACAGTCATAATTTATTTCTCATTCATTTCTTACTCCAGGCGTGACAGATAGGTTTGAATTCCAGTGCCAACTCTGATCAATTGACAAAAGTTGCCTGAAGCACTGTGTAACAAGGACTCTAAGACTACCATTGAGCTCAATAGGAAAACATACCATGATGAATTAACATTTGCAGTGGGATGGAATGAGATACTTGCTGCACATGCCATGTATTTGCTCTCCATAAAAGACTCCATAGGGCACGCAGTTTCTTCCATCTTTCTGTTTGCTCCATCCCTCTCCAGACTAGCATCACCAAAAATCTCATATGGGTACTCACTCATTTCTCCCTTCCTTTGTGTTCCTTTGTTTCCCCACAGTGGACTTTTCTAGTATCCACACAGCCAAAGTGGGGTCATGCAACTTTATCCTCCAGTCAAAAAGTATTGCTGTCTGTGTGGCATTTCCATTAAATGTAAGAATCATCATGAAATTCTTGTCATTTCACATCCCTTTCATCAAGAAAGATCATGAACTAGCATCATCTCCCTAGACACATCTTCCTCCAACCACGATGAAGAGGCCCAACACACAAACACAGTTCTAACCCAAACTGACTATGTCAAAATATGTGTTTAAGAATCTTAAATGGCGGGCACCTGGGTGGCTCAGTTGGTCAAGCGACTGCCTTCGGCTCAGGTCATGATCCTGGAGTCCCTGGATCGAGTCCCGCATCGGGCTCCCTGCTTGGCAGGGAGTCTGCTTCTCCCTCTGACCCTCCCCCCTCTCATGTGCTCTCTCTCATTCTCTCTCAAATAAATAAATAAAATCTTTAAAAAAAATTAAAAAAATAAAGAACCTTAAATGGCTTCCTACTGATTAATGAAATAAGTTTAAGCTCCTCAATCTGGCATTTCAAAGCCTTCTAAAATGTGCAACCAATTTGCATAGGAAATCATATTATCTACCACTCTTTTCCAATTAGATTTGTCTCCTTGACCATCTCACACATTTGTGCAACCTGGTATTACTCCCTATCTTTTCTCATATAAATCCCATAGCCAGTCAATACCCAGCTTACCAATTACCTACTATGGACAAGTCACTGGGCTGACCACTCAAATCTTCTTCCATCATAAAGTATTCCTCTAATATTGTTCCTACTATGGCATCCCCTTTCTCTGAACTTCTACAATTATCCATTTAATATCATCCATTTACTCACTCTACTATTCATCCAACCATTCATTCATTTTTTTCTTTCTTCTAAGACTTGATTCAGGTCCTTACTATTTCTTACCTGTTTTTACTGGAAGATCCTCCTAGAATGATCATTCTGAAACTGATAATCGTCTCTGGCCTGCTTGGTTGCCAACACCTTGAGGCTCATATTGCTCAACATGTCTTTAGTCCATAAAGACACAATGTCTTTAATGACATCCCTCGCTCACTTCTCCAGCCTGCTCTCCTACCACTAACCCTGGAAACCCTAAGTTCGGACCATCAGGAATACTGAACAAATACTTTTCTTTATCACCCTTAAGCTCTTTCATCTCTCAGTGCCTTTCAAAGTGTGATTTTTGGTCCTCCTCACTCAATACTCCTCTCTCCGGCATCCCCCACTAGTCATCAGGATCAACTCAAGCATTGCCTCTCCCTGGAACCCACACCACCACCTAAATGCACACACACCACATAACGCCTCCTCTACATCCTTGTATATTAATTATTCTATTCTCATTTATCAAGCCATCCTTTAAGTGTGGATTTACTTGTCTTTTTACCCACCAGTCTATGAGAGCCCACTTAACTAATGTGACTGAATCACATAGTGTTTATTACCATTCTTTAATTGTGTCAGGTTTCAATCACATCTGTTTTCCCTGGAAAATTGTCAGTCTTATAAGAGACAGACAAATTCGGTGTTTCTATTGTGTCCCCAACCTCACACAATGCTGAGCAACATAGTAAATAATAAATACCTGCTGCTTTCACTTTCTGAGAATAGCTGCCCCAATACCATCTGAGAGATTCTGTGTCATATTCCTTGTTGGTCATGTGGATTCACTAACATTAACTTCGCCTTGTGACACGAGGTAAACCTGGGACTTTGATGTAATGAGTGTCGCGCATGGCTTTGCTAAACACACAGCCAAGTGACCTGCCCATAATAGGCACATTAAAAATACATCAAAAACTAATGATGTACTGTATGGTGACTAACGTAACACAATAAAAAAACGAATTAAAAAAAATAAAGTAGCAGGGCGCGTGGGTGGCTCACTTGTTAAGCGTTTGCCTTCGGCTCAGGTCATGATCCCAGGGTCCTGGGATCGAGCCCCACATCGGGCTCCCTGCTCAGTGGGAAGGCTGCTTCTCCCTCTCCCACTCCCCCTGCTTGTGTTCCCTCTCTCTCTGTGTCTCTCTCTGTCAAATAAATAAAATCTTTAAAAAAATAAATAAAGTAGTAAATAAAAGGTCAAAACACCTAGATTTTAAAATGTAAAGAAACAATATACCCAGGTGAAGAAGTTCACATAGCATTTGGTTAAGAATGATGAGACCTGAGTCTCTGTCACCCTCAGCCAGTGTGAAAAGTCACCTCCCCAACAACATTAATAATAGCCACATTTACATGCTAAGTACCTGGCACGATCTCTTCTGTGAGCAGTATCCTCTCTGGTTATCTTCCTTACACAGATAAGGAAAATGGGACTTGAAGACATATAACAGAAAACGGAAAAGCCATTTGAACCTCATCTACCTGACTCCATAGCCTGTGCTCTTTTCACACTGGACTTCAGGATGTGAGGGCGATCTGGCTGCGACATCTGTCACCCCATTGATCGCCAGGGTTGATTCGGCTGATCTGGCTGGCTAGGCGGGTGTCCCCTTCCTCCCTCACCACTCCATGTGCGTCCCTCCCGAAGCTGCGCGCTCGGTCGAAGAGGACGACCTTCCCCGATAGAGGAGGACCGTTCTTCGGTCAAGGGTATACGAGTAGCTGTGCTCCCCTGCTAGAACCTCCAAACAAGCTCTCACACTGGACTTCATTACTCCTCTCCCGGCCCCACCCCCCTGGGGATAATATAACCTATTTTCTCAATACCTCAAAGGGATGTGAAATGACAAATGAGATCACCAAAAGTTAAGTATCCTCCCTTTTATGAGAAAAGAAACTAAAGCACTGAGAAATATATGCTTATTGATTATTTTAAAAAATGTCTTCCATGTGGCAACAATAGGATACTTTTACTTTAAACAGGATGTTAATTTTTCCAGACTATCTATCTGGACAAACTTCAGAGAGACCCCAGAAGCCCCCAGCAGCTCTGTGTCAAGGAGAGTCCACCTGCAGGGATATGGACATGCCTACACTTTGCTGAATTCTGACAGATGGATCCCATGACTGGACAGACAATACCCAAGAGTTCTAAATATGAGGAAACAAAAGAAAATGAAGATATGGAAGCCAAAAAATAAAAGAAAGGATGATTCATCTTACAGTCCCCCCAAAGCACATAAGGAAATCAGTAGTAAATAGGGAGGAAAAAAACCAGTACCAGACACCTCCAAACCTTGGTTAAAGCCCCAAAGCTCTGCCAACTAGCTGTTGTAGATTTCTTAATTTTTCCATTTCCATGTCTTCAATACTGTTAATAATAATAATGATAGTTTTAGCAATTAAGATTTATTGAGCACTTACTATATGCCAGGCACTGTTCTAATTACTTTGTATGAATTAATTATTTACTTCTTATAATGACTCTATAAGATAGGTAGTATATACTCATTTTACAGATGAGGAAACTGAGCGGGTTTATTAGCTGAGACTAAACTAGTAATTACGAAAGGTGAAATTCAAACAAACTGTCTAACTCCAAAGCCTATACTCTTAATCACCATGCTATTATAACCTCCCTTTCATAATACAGAGAAAAATACCCACCTCCCTAGCTATGGGATTATTGTGATAATCCAATGAATTAAATAAAAATACCTCATAAGCTCTAAAGAACTATACAATTGTTAATTTTATTATTTGTACATAATGAATAAGGAATCATTTGATTTACACAAGTAGCTAAGTTCCAAGCCAAAAGTAAAGACAGGTATAATTATTCTGGAAAACAGAACTGTTTTTAAAAGTGTTTAGGAAAAGACAGAATGCAAAAGATTCCAGATGCCCCCAGGAGAATTAATTTAACAATAGGCAGTTATAGAGCCTGAGACAAACAGGAGAGTGTGTGCTCTATTTGAAGCAGTTTAGTCTTACTAGGGTTGGGGGGGGTGGTCCCTGCCTGCCAAACAAAACATGCTTGTAGTAGAAACTTCAACTGCAGGCCTGCAAGTGGCTTTTCCAGTGACCCTAGCCCTTCACTCCCATACCAAAAGCAAAAAGTCAAATCCAAAATGGTTATGACATGTGAAGAAACCAGAAACAAAAGTTTTTTTAAATCTCAAATCCTGATTAAGCAAAAAAAAATTGCATTCTTCTGTAGGTCCATAGCCTTAGCCAGAGACGTCATGACCCAAACTCAGAAACCCATTAATAGAGGGACCTTAACAGCAGGGGGTGTAAATGGGAGCAGAGAATGCCTGTCATTCTGGGTAATGTGAGGGATACGTGTGAGCCAGCCATGCCTATTCTGTCTTTGGGGACCCTGGAAATAGAACTATAAAAAAG